GACTATGACTAGACTATGACTAGACTAGGACTAGACTATGACTAGACTATGACTAGACTATGACTAGACTATGACTAGACTATGACTAGACTAGACTAGACTATGACTAGACTATGACTAGACTATGACTAGACTATGACTAGACTATGACTAGACTATGACTAGACTATGACTAGACTATGACTAGACTATGACTAGACTATGACTAGAATGACTAGACTATGACTAGACTATGACTAGACTATGACTAGACTATGACTAGACTATGACTAGACTATGACTAGACTATGACTAGACTATGACTAGACTATGACTAGACTATGACTAGACTATGACTAGACTACGACTAGACTATGACTATAGACTAGACTGTAGACTAGACTATAGTCTAGACTATAGACTAGACTATAGACTAGACTATAGACTAAACTATAGACTAAACTATAGACTAGACTATAGACTAGACTGTAGACTAGACTATTACTAGCCTAAGAAGTAATAGTGGGGCATGATTTATCATAAGTTATGTTTATCATCACACAATTTACAAATGACCCACTGTAATCCAGTTGTCTTATAACTTGTTGTCTGTTGTGAAGATTTTTTTTGCACTTATTTTACAATTCCCTTTAAAAATGATTCAAAATAAAAAACACGTTTATAGATTGTATGTATTGTATGTATTCATTTGGATTATATCAACTATCACATTATTTTGTACCTTGTACAAAGTACAATTGGAATGGAAATAGTAACATTGAGACTATTTATAGTTCTAAACTGTCACTTTCCCAGTATGTAAGCTTATTGAAAAAGGTATAATAACACAAAAATAACGTATCAGGTTTTCTGGTCATATGACAGACTATGCATACATACATATATGCAGAAGTTAAATATGAAATCTTCAAAGTTTGAGTGGTAAGCATTCATATCCTTAATATTACCGAAAAGGTCAGTTTGTTTCTCATTATCTGTACTTATAACAATAAGTAGCAAAACCTTTTATATGCATTTTTTAAGGAGTTTTTGAAATTAAAAAAATTCTTTAGCATCTGTTACGATATCTTTTAAATACCTCTATATACCTACCTACGTATCAATATCATGCATATCATTTTAATTTCTTTCTTTTTTTCGTTAATAATCATGTGTATGTCGAAATCCCCATCATTGATTTTATAACACCACTACGATTTATTCTGTCCTTCATTGTCATACTTTAAGTCACATTAACGTATTCATATGTGTTTCTATAATACTATTGAATTCATTCTATCACATTATTTTTATAATTTTTGTGGGGGCTTAACACGTGAATTATTATGTGCTTATTCTCGGGAAAACGCAAAAGAAGAATACTTTTCTTATTGATAATATGTGGAAAAAGTACAATAGTATGTGATTTACTTTTGTCAGCATTATCCAATGCATCTAAATCGGGAATGAAAATTTCAAAAAGGAAATTTTATATGACGAATCTTACTGAGTTTGGAATAGTGTTTATAAAAAACCGACTTTTGGAAAAACCGGTTTTTCGGTTAACCGAAAATTAACCATTTCTAAAAAACCGGTTTGTCGGTTAACCGAGTATAAAAAACCGGTTAAACCGGTTAACCGAAATGTTTGGAAATCTTTAAAATATTATAATATATAGTTGAAAAATGTCATTTTGCGAAATATTATAAATTACTTAATAAGATATTTGCATTTTTTAGTATAGATATGTACATTAATATATCATAAGAAAACAAACTTATATAGATCTGAAGATATTATTGATTCGTTAGGTATATGGAAGTTGCCATACGAGGGATAAATTGACCATATATATCAATAGCAAAAATTATGCCCAGAACTATAAACAGTGTTCAGGTTCGCGACGATTGTCTCGACATAGACAGTGACCTCCCTCCACTCACTACGCCTGTGGTTGTTCAAATTACTGTGAATGACGCTTAGGAATATTGACAGGTGTCATTCTGACTTCCTGTCAATCAACCTAAGCGCCATTACAGTTTGTGAAAAACCCCAGCAGCATAAGTTCTCGGACGGCAACAACAATCCTTATGTTTCGATAAATAAAGTCCGTTTTGAGAACGTTTGAGAAACTTCTCGATTTTTACTATACTCACGCAGTAAACAAGTAAGTATATAGATAATATTTGTTTAACAATCTTAGGTCTGTTTTCATATGCACAAACGGAAAATAATGTTTAAAATTATCTATCCAAAATTTTTAAAAATCACAATAAAATATCAAAGAAAACATACAATTTTGTACTAAAAATTAGATTTTTTTGAAACCGGTTAACCGAGACTTAAAAACCGGATAACCCGGTTAACCGAAAACCAATGTTTTAAAAAACCGGTTTGCGAAAAACCGAAATATGCAATAAAAACCGGTTTTTCGGTTAACCGGTTAACCGGTTTATAAACACTAGTTTGGAAGTTATAGTCTCGAAATTGTATTTTCGTAGTCTAGAAAGAATCTAGTGAAATTACAGTCATTGTCTAGTCATAGTCTAGTCATAGTCTAGTCATAGTCTAGTCATAGTCTAGTCATAGTCTAGTCATAGTCTAGTCAAGTCATAGTCTAGTCATAGTCTAGTCATAGTCTAGTCATAGTCTAGTCATAGTCTAGTCAGTCAGTCTAGTCTAGTCATAGTCTAGTCATAGTCTAGTCATAGTCTAGTCATAGTCTAGTCATAGTCTAGTCATAGTCTAGTCATAGTCTAGTCATAGTCTAGTCATAGTCTAGTCATAGTCTAGTCATAGTCTAGTCATAGTCTAGTCATAGTCTAGTCATAGTCTAGTCATAGTCTAGTCATAGTCTAGTCATAGTCTAGTCATAGTCTAGTCATAGTCTAGTCATAGTCTAGTCATAGTCTAGTCATAGTCTAGTCATAGTCTAGTCATAGTCTAGTCATAGTCTAGTCATAGTCTAGTCATAGTCTAGTCATAGTCTAGTCATAGTCTAGTCATAGTCTAGTCATAGTCTAGTCATAGTCTAGTCATAGTCTAGTCATAGTCTAGTCATAGTCTAGTCATAGTCTAGTCATAGTCTAGTCATAGTCTAGTCATAGTCTAGTCATAGTCTAGTCATAGTCTAGTCATAGTCTAGTCATAGTCTAGTCATAGTCTAGTCATAGTCTAGTCATAGTCTAGTCATAGTCTAGTCATAGTCTAGTCATAGTCTAGTCATAGTCTAGTCATAGTCTAGTCATAGTCTAGTCATAGTCTAGTCATAGTCTAGTCATAGTCTAGTCATAGTCTAGTCATAGTCTAGTCATAGTCTAGTCATAGTCTAGTCATAGTCTAGTCATAGTCTAGTCATAGTCTAGTCATAGTCTAGTCATAGTCTAGTCATAGTCTAGTCATAGTCTAGTCATAGTCTAGTCATAGTCTAGTATAGTCATAGTCTAGTCATAGTCTAGTCATAGTCTAGTCATAGTCTAGTCATAGTCTGCTCGTATTCCTAAAGCTAAAAAGTTGAAATTTATTTTTAAGAAGAAAGTAATATTTTTTTGCAATTTTATCTTAAAATTTCGCGGAATATTTGTTAAGGATAAATTTGACCTTTGACCCTACAGGTGATATCAATTTATTTATTGCCTTATTTCGAAGCATAATTTTAGGCCCAGTATTTAGCAGTATATAAAAAGTTAAAATAAAAATCTAAATACAACCTGACAACAGACGATTTTTTTACACAGAATTCATAAAATTTTATTTTAGGTTTCATTTTCCAAAAATTATATTTGAGAATAATTATTTTGCCTTTTTTATCGAGCACAATACACACCAAGCATGTGATTAAATATTTATTTAAATTCATATGAAGTGCTAAAATGTTCATTTGATCCCAATATATTTAAGACATTTTCCATGTACATATTAGCATTTAAAGGAAAATCACAGAATACGTTTATTTTCGCAGGAAATACACAGGATTAAATTGTAAAGGACAATACACAACAAACACTTTTAAACGCACGACCAAAAAAGAAATGTACTTGTAGCGTGAAATGTAAAACAATAAAAGGAAAATGAAAAGTCACGTTGAAAAATTTTAAAACTTCCACAAAAAAAAAAAAAAAAACAAGTAAATTGGAGGAGAGGAGGCAAAACAGCAGCAAAAATGCCTTCAGGAAAGTAAAAAAAAAAATGGAAAACATCGTCACAGTAGCACCATCATCAACGCCACCAAATGACATCGTCATGAAACATCAAAGAACAACAGGTGTTTTTGGGTACTTGTTTTTTCCGTTTGATTTTTTGTTCGTAGAGAAAGAAATGAAAATGGGACAATAAACCCTGACTGTCAGAGACCATGTAGTACCAGCATACCGGAAGAAACACATGTTTCGTAAGTTTTCAAAACAACTGTATGCAGAAATTTCCCACAACGCGTTCAACGTCGTCATGTTTTTCTATAATAAAACAAGTGAATGTCACAAATCACGTTGTTTCGTTTAAGGCCAAACGAAATATACTAAACATAAGAGTCCTGTTTTATGTTGAAAATTTTCTGTGAACATTGAAAAGCTTTTCTTTTTGACTTACTTTAGCCTTAGACAGTGTAAGGATATTTGTGTTTCTGTGTGCGTATGTGTTAGAGTAAAACAAACACGAGTCTGCGCCTGATGTCGTAGAAAAGCTTTAACACACGAAGGTTAGTAGCAGCAACTAACGACCATGGAATAAACTATAAAAGCAAACGCTTTCTAACAGTAAAATGTTAGTTCTCTAGCGGACTTTGAACAGTTACGGTCAATATTAATATTGCGAAAATCTGAAATCAAATTAAAAAACTTAACGGTTTTAAGAAAATTGAAATAATAAATAAAAATTCAATTGAAATATATCACAAGTGGATTTAAAAAAAAATATTAAAAAACAAAAATATTTTGTTAAAAAAACTAAAATAAACATTTTTGAAAAACTATTTTAAATAAAAATAAAAAAACTTTCAAAAAAACATTTAAAAGATTAACTGTGAGTTAAAAATTAAATAAAAAGTTTATAACAAAAAAACTCTGGATTATAAATACCTGAAAATGGATACTCTATCACCGCATAAAAACTCCAAACCCAGCAGTTCCAGTAGCTCTGGCTGCTCGGCCTCATCCTCGACTACGGATATAAAAAATTCCTATAAAAGCCAGCGTTTGGATAATAAACCAGCTGGCATGCGTTCCAGATCTTTTCTGCATTGTCTTAGCCGACATTTGGGTCGTCATTTTATACATCATCATCCTCATCATCATACGGTGCATCAAAATGGTCAAACTATTGTTTATAATAGTCAAGAGGAGTTGAGATCCTCTTCGACCGATTCTTTTTCCTTGAGTTATGAACGTAATTCTCGTTTGGATGGTTCTATGCAGCAAACTAATTCCAATGGCACGGGCACTTCCAGTTTTGATATTAGCAGTGAGGAACGTACCTCTAGGGCTTCTTCAACCTCAGCCTGTTCTCGATTTTCACCCGAGCAGGAGGAAATGGAAAATTCCACAAATAAGAATTACACAAATAAACAGCATCATATTTATATCTCCACTACCATCTATAGACCTTCTAGTTCTTTGGATTGTCATGATGATTTGGAGGAGGATTACAGTGAATCGGATAGCGGTAACTCCAGCAGTGATGAAAATGAGCAAAACAATTTACAGCAAAATCAAGAGAATATCTTCAATCAAAATGTGGTCAATGGCAAATCAAAATCTTCACCAGCCTCGGTAGCCAATACACCTTCCTCTAATCTAACCACTTCTTCGGCCAAGGGTTTACATTTGAGTCGCATATCTATAACATCTTCTGTGAGAAGCATCTTCCAGCATATCTCCTCAGTATCAGCCAGTTCAACACGTTCTTTATCCTGCTCCAGTACCCCCTTAAAACGGGTATGGGATTCTAAGTGTAAAAAATCCAATTCTTCACCAGCCAGTAGTTCATCGAATAGCAATAGTGCTGCCAAATCAAATAAATCTTCCACACGTTCTTCAGCTTCAAATTCCACATCTTCCAATTCTTCTGCCTCCTCCAAGAAAGCAGAAAAGAAACAGCAGAGTATTTTAAGACCACCCATTAATTATGTCTATATGAAGGGTATGTCTGGTTTATACTCAAGAGTGCCCCGTTATTCTGTCTGCTGTCCCTATGGCACCCAACAATGGGCTTAAACTTTAAGCCGAAAATCTATACACTGACTAACAAAACCCAGTAGCACCAATTATTTTTATAAGTCTTAATAATAATAATAATAATAATAGAAAAAAATGACAAGGAGTTGGTTACAAACGAAATAACAACAAAAGTAATGCAGTGCCTAAGTTCGACAAAATAATTTAATAGAAATGATTAAAAGTTTAATTAGACTATGGTATGTTATTTATGATAAAAAAAAGCTTTAGGGACTTATTTATACTTATAGAAAAAAACTAACAGCGTTTTGTTTAAAACAAATTAAACTTAAAAATAAAGAAAACCAAGTTTTCTATAAATTTATTACTAAAAAATTTAAAAAAAAAAAATATTTAGAAAATTTAAAAAAATTATATAAAGGAAAGCACAGGCACTTAATAATAATATAAAACAGTTCAAAAATTAGCTACAAAAAGAATATAATAAACATAACCCCAAAAACTTAGCCAAATATACACACATAATTTTATAAAAATTAAATAAAACTAAACAGCAATACTTTAAAATTTCTTTCAAAAAACAAAAAATTCTTAAAATTTAACTTCTGTCTTAAATTGCTGTTTATATCTCTTAAACTCCACAAATACCAACAAACTCTTTAAAACTAAATATTTAAACATATCTTTTTTCCTTAATTTCCATTTCTTCTAAAAGCTTATTTATTTCCAATACTACGAATTTATTATTAACAAAAAAAAAAAAAAAAAACATATTTACTTAAAGTAAAATAAAATGTTTATATTAGGCAAAATTTATTATAAATAAAATAATTATAAAATTGTAAAAAAAATTACTTTTGTATATAAAACTATTAAATTATTAAACTTAATTAGTAAATATAAAACCTAAAATTTATTTTTCCTACTCTAGCTTTAAATTACTAAAATTATATTTTTATTATTTATTTTAGCTTTAAGTCTTAAATTTTTAAGAAAAAACAAATTTCAAAACAAAATAAATAATAAAAACAAATTATTGAAAATATTAAAAACAAATGAAATGAGTTTTTTATTTCTTAAAATACAATTCTAGGGAAAAAAACATATTAAACGTTTTTAGGCGAAATGCAACGCATTTTAAAAATTTTTAGAAAACAGAGGTCAAAGGTCATAATATTGAATATGTAATATTTAAAAGACTTGGGCTAAGTCTTCAATAAACTTTGGTGATTTTTTTAAATATGTTCAATTACTAGGATTTTATATTGTTATTTTAAACTCTGAAGTCTTTTTAAAGATGACATTTCAAAACTTAGAGTCAAAGGTCAAAATTTAAAAAAATTTTATACTAAAGCATCACTATTAGTTTTATTATTGGTTTTTGACAAAATTTTAGTGAAACATTTCTATAGATTTAATAATGATATTGAAGCAAAGATTTTTTAAATTTTTTATTTTACACGATTAGGATCAAAACGATTCTACAGAATATTTTAAAACTTTGACTCCAACTGTGTTAACTGTTTAAATTGCAAAATTTTAAACATTTCAACAGGGCAGGGTTTTAAAACTTTTAAACTTTAAGTCCAAGTGGTTGTCAAAATATTCAAAAATTAATTTTATAAATGAGTTTGACTTCATTTGATAATATTTGTCATGTCTGTCTGTCCGTCCGTCTGTATATCTGTCTGTCCGTCTATCTATCTGTCTGTCTGTCTGTCTGTCTGTCTGTCTGTCCGTCTATCTATCTGTCCGCCTGTCCGTCTGTCCGTCTGTCCATGCTCTACGTGAACATCTGTCATGACGATCTTAGGTAGTTTTAGGCGACTCACCACCATTCCTTTGAGTTTCTTACACGCAGTTGGCAATATCCATGTACGAGCACTTTGTTCAAGTGCTCGAGTTATCTAATCTCTGGCCAATGCTTCCCCGTTACGTAGATTCCGAAATGCAAAAACATCACTTCATTTTACAACCACGCAAATGGGATGGTCCCTGTTGGTTAGGCAACAGTAGCCTAGACGTAGACCGTAGTCTTATTTCATTGGACCACATTGACCCACTGTTTTGGGTCAAGCATGATAAAAATAAACTCCAAATACAGCGAACCATAAACGAAAAACAGATGAAAGTACCATCTACTCAACATGCAACTTACAGCATTCATCAACTGTAACATTACATCCAGAATTCCATCCATCCACATCATCAACATCCATCTCTTCCTACACCCAATCTTTGCATTATCAGCTCAGTTCCAACATTTTATACCACAGCCTACTCTGTGTAATGATAAAAAAGACAAGTTGAGATTTCTTCAGAATCCACTTTTTAAAGTTTACAACCTGTTTGATCCGTAGTCAAGGGTATACTCCTCCTAAATTTCAAATTTCTGAATTCCTTTGTTTATACTATGTCGCATTTTAGCTTGTCTTTAAAAAGCAGGATAGACATTTTGTTCGAAACAGGGATTTGCATAAAAATTTTTCCAAGATTACATAAATTATTTTACCCAGAGACTAAAGTTAAGTTTTCTAAAGGATTGAGCAGAACAGATGTCATGTCATGAAGTTTGAAAAACCCCCGTTGTTGGTCGATTTGCTAAGACACCTTTAATTAGTATCCTTTAGAAAAAGTATACTTTGGTCTTTGTGTTTTTAATTTTAATTTTTTTTTTTCACATTTTGTTGCCCTATGTTATTATCATTTCTGTAGTCTTCCATGACCATATTTCCAATAAAATTTTTAACAAATCAAAGATATTATTTTTGCAAGGCCTTTCAACAATTATATTATGTATCATGTTTTTATATTTCTTTTTTCATTATTAAGATTTTAACTTTTACTATTAGCCTATGAAAAAAAATCTTTAAACTTTTTTTTTCTAAATTCTGTTTTTTTCTTTTCCATATTACAGATATCATATCACAACTCTGGTAACTTAAGAGCAATTCTGGTAAGTGAGCATTTAATCCTTCTTATCAAACAATATAAGTAATACTTTTCTTAAACGAATTTACACAATAAATAAGTGGAATTTCCCAACATTAGGCCTATTAATTACCAAACAATTTCTTTGATTTGGAAATATTTGCTACATCCACTATAACATAATGCCCTTTCCTACAATGCATATAATATTGTCTCACTGTGTGTATAATATTGTAGTAAATATTTTATACCCTGCAGTTTTAATAGAACTTAATTTCAATTTTATATTATCTGTTAAAGATCTTAGTTCAAATTCTAGTTCAGTTCTAGTTCAATTTTAGCTCAGTTCTAGTTCAGTTCTAGTTCAGTTCTAGTTCAGTTCTAGTTCAGTTCTAGTTCAGTTCTAGTTCAGTTCTAGTTCAGTTCTAGTTCAGTTCTAATTCAGTTCTAGTTCAGTTCTAGTTCAGTTCTAGTTCAGTTCTAGTTCAGTTCTAGTTCAGTTCTAGTTCAGTTCTAGTTCAGTTCTAGTTCAGTTCTAGTTCAGTTCTAGTTCAGTTCTAGTTCAGTTCTAGTTCAGTTCTAGTTCAGTTCTAGTTCAGTTCTAGTTCAGTTCTAGTTCAGTTCTAGTTCAGTTCTAGTTCAGTTCTAGTTCAGTTCTAGTTCAGTTCTAGTTCAGTTCTAGTTCAGTTCTAGTTCAGTTCTAGTTCAGTTCTAGTTCAGTTCTAGTTCAGTTCTAGTTCAGTTCTAGTTCAGTTCTAGTTCAGTTCTAGTTCAGTTCTAGTTCAGTTCTAGTTCAGTTCTAGTTCAGTTCTAATTCAGTTCTAGTTCAGTTCTAATTCAGTTCTAGTTCAGTTCTACTTCAGTTCTAGTTCAGTTCTAGTTCAGTTCTAGATCAGTTCTAGTTCAGTTCTAGTTCAGTTCTAGTTCAGTTCTAGTTCAGTTCCAGTTCAGTTCTAGTCAGTTCTAGTTCAGTTCTAGTTCAGTTCTAGTTCAGTTTCTAGTCAGTTCTAGTTCAGTTCTAGTTCAGTTCTAGTTCAGTTCTAGTTCAGTTCTAGTTCAGTTCTAGTTCAGTTCTAGTTCAGTTCTAGTTCAGTTCTAGTTCAGTTCTAGTTCAGTTCTAGTTCAGTTCTAGTTCAGTTCTAGTTCAGTTTAGTTCAGTTCTAGTTCAGTTCTAGTTCAGTTCTAGTTCAGTTCTAGTTCAGTTCTAGTTCAGTTCTAGTTCAGTTCTAGTTCAGTTCTAGTTCAGTTCTAGTTCAGTTCTAGTTCAGTTCTAGCTCAGTTCTAGTTCAGTTTAGTTCAGTTCTAGTTCAGTTCTAGTTCAGTTCTAGTTCAGTTCTAGTTCAGTTCTAGTTCAGTTTAGTTCAGTTCTAGTTCAGTTCTAGTTCAGTTCTAGTTCAGTTCTAGTTCAGTTCTAGTTCAGTTCTAGTTCAGTTCTAGTTCAGTTCTAGTTCAGTTCTAGTTCAGTTCTAGTTCAGTTCTAGTTCAGTTCTAGTTCAGTTCTAGTTCAGTTCTAGTTCAGTTCTAGTTCAGTTCTAGTTCAGTTCTAGTTCAGTTCTAGTTCAGTTCTAGTTCAGTTCTAGTTCAGTTCTAGTTCAGTTCTAGTTCAGTTCTAATTCAGTTCTAGTTCAGTTCTAGTTCAGTTCCAGTTCAGTTCTAGTTCAGTTCTAGTTCAGTTCTAGTTCAGTTCTAGTTCAGTTCTAGTTCAGTTCTAGTTCAGTTCTAGTTCAGTTCTAGTTCAGTTCTAGTTCAGTTCTAGTTCAGTTCTAGTTCAGTTCTAGTTCAGTTCTAGTTCAGTTCTAGTTCAGTTCTAGTTCAGTTCTAGTTCAGTTCTAGTTCAGTTCTAGTTCAGTTCTAGTTTCGTAGTTCAGTTCTAGTTCAGTTCTAGTTCAGTTCTAGTTCAGTTCTAGTTCAGTTCTAGTTCAGTTCTAGTTCAGTTCTAGTTCAGTTCTAGTTCAGTTCTAGTTCAGTTCTAGTTCAGTTCTAGTTCAGTTCTAGTTCAGTTCTAGTTCAGTTCTAGCTCAGTTCTAGTTCAGTTGTAGTTCAGTTGCAGTTCAGTTCTAGTTCTAGTTCAGTTCTAGTTCAGTTCTAGTTCAGTTCTAGTTCAGTTCTAGTTCAGTTCTAGTTCAGTTCTAGTTCAGTTCTAGTTCAGTTCTAGTTCAGTTCTAGTTCAGTTTCTAGTTCAGTTCTAGTTCAG